AGCTGAAGTTTTGCATTAGTTCTTAATTGAACCCAGTCATGTACCACCCCTGCTGTCTAGCTGAGTTCGAGTCAGAGCAGTATGGGATCTGAATGAGCCTAAAGGGTCTAAATGAAATCTCTGTTCTGGAAACAAACCAGTTCTGAATCTTTAAGCAGCAGACTTGTTTAGACAATAGCCCATCAGAACCAGAGTGCATTGCAAGAACCCCACAGTATCATTATAGCAAAGTGAATGATAAGTGTCTGATTAAAATTCATTCGCAGAATTCCAGGAATGCCAAATGATGCCCATTCGCTCTCTTCTGCAGAATCGGCTGCTTTATGGTAATGAGAAGAGGAGTCCAAGTGGACCAGACCTGCAAAGCGTGTTGGCTGTGAAGAACCAAAAGCCAAAAAAGGTGAACAGAAGTAGACCGACCACAGGGCAGGTCTGGGACATAAAATCCCACTTCACAATGGCCCACACTTCCACAGTGCATGGCTGGGTGTGCTCTGAGTATATCTCATCATGTTGTACACTGACATGTCTACAGCCACTGTGCCACAGGGTGGGATGCTCTGACAGGCCCAGGCCAAACCTGATGAGGATGCGTTTGAGCATTAAAAAGTTGAGGTTTTAATCCTAAACATCAAATGTCTCCATTAAATTTATTTCTGTCCCCCTACCAGCATCGTGGAAAAACAAGAAAAAAAGAAATGTGTTCGATGGAGGTTTTTATTTACCAGTCTTGGCAAGCTTTCTCCCATTTTGAGCCACCCTACAACTTGAGTTCATTGCGGCATCTACAGTAGGTTCAATGCAGCCATTCGTCTTCCTCAATTGTACAGAAAATGATAAATTATGAAATCAATGTTTATTTTTCTCAGGAGGAATATTTTTTTTAAGTATCAAAGCAGCATATTGATGTTAATGTAATAGTAACCAATCAGCAATCTTTTGAACAGAGCACACAATATGACTTGGTGTGAGATGTAGTGATATCTATGCGAGCTAACAAACTCAGCATGCCACAAGACCACACATGGGGGACACTCAGTCTTAACACAGACCCTGGAGTATTGAAATGCATGTGTCTGCGCACACTTGTGTTCTTCTGAGCAGGAAACAGTGGCGGATTCTATTCTCTGTTCTCTATTCTCTGTTGATGCATCTGCGATGATAGGACTGTGAGCAGCAGGAAAGCTGCTTGAGGGTGTTGGGACAGGTGGCTCCTTACAGGATAAGAAAGTGCAGAACGAATCTCATGTGATCCAAAATTCAAAGCAAATCAACTGTTTAAATATGTTGACAGAGTAAAGGCGACACAAAGCGAGAAACCACTCCAGTTACAGTCCAAAAACCTGTGCAAATACATGTTGGAAAAGAAATGTTTTCATCTCAGGCTCAAGTGGATACAAAGAGTTTCAGCGTTCCTGATGTGAACTGGCAGGGAGTTTCACACCCCACACTTGAGTGGAAAATTAAACACTGCCATGTCTTTCATTTGAGCTCTGACTAGTCTTCCTTCTTTTCCATTGGAGTGTAAGAAATATGCATATATTGCATATGGTTATGCAAACTCAGTAACCGCTGTGTGCATCTGTGTGTTTCTGTTTTGGAAAATAGAAGAATGTTCTGGCAGCGATAGGAATCAAACACTAAACTCGAATCAGCTTATTTTCTTAAACTTTCGATTTCTTTAGTTGGAATATTCAAACAAAAAAAGGAGGCTTGGTTTGAGGGAAAAGAATGCAAAACCTCCGTGAAAATCTTTGAGAACAAAGTAGATTTGAACGCAGAACAAATAACAGTATTGTTCACTACTGATGAGTTGTCAGTGGCCAGGGAGTGAGATTCACATTAAGAACGGCTGTTTCGAAGAACAGCTGTGTGTTTCTACTGGCTGCTAACAGACTGGCTTTACACCAATTTCCCTAGCTGTCTCCAGTCTGCAAGTGTACAGCCATATCTGGCACTGTTTGCAGTGTGATATCCTTTTGGTTAAATACAAGCAAGAGACCTGTGGTGGAAGTGATGTTAACCAATTAGGGTCACCTTGTTTTTGTGAAAAAATCAATTTCTGCTGGGCATGATGTCTCCTCAAACCAAAATTATGTCCACTCATTTTGTAATATCTCTGGACTTTTATGCAGTAGAAGCCTGGTTTATTGCTTAAATAAACCTAAATACTAAACAATAAAATACCAAAATTACATTAACAGTCATAGATTAAGGTTGCTGCTGGAAGAGGTGTTAATGGGACCAGCAGGGGGTGCTCACCCTGTGGTCCATGTGGGTCCTAATGCCCCAGTATAGTGAAAGGGACACTATACTGTAAACAGGCACCGTCCTTCAGATGAGACGTAAAACCGAAGTCCTGACTCTCTGTGGTCATTAAAAATCCCAGGGCGCTTCTCGAAAAGAGTTGGGGTGTAACCCCGGTGTCCTGGCCAAATTTCCCATTGACCCTTACCAATCATGGCCTCCTAATAATCCCCCTCTATGAATTGGCTTCATTACTCTGCTCTCCTCCCCACTGATAG